AAAGGCAATAATTATTTCACTCAGTTATCATTTGTCCAAAGGAAATGACATCATCTGTAGGAGTGTCCAACAAAAATAGAATTTTACAGTACCTTCAGAATTAAATCTTCTCAATTCTTTACTAGGGCATTAAGTACTAAAACTCAATCTATTCATTATGCATTAGTGGGCCTACCCAGATTCATTAACGTGCACAAGCAGTACAATAAGTTCTAAACACAGAGTTAAATTTGCAATCTGCTATAGAGAACACAAAGCAAATCAATGATACAAGCAGACACACCTAAATGAATATTTTGTTTGGTTAGTCAGGTTCTCAGGCAGGCAGAGTCAGCATGCTGTAAGGCTGGAAGGCAGGCAAGCTTGGAAACAAAAGAAAAGGCATTTCAGTTATGTATGTAAGAGACTTTATCATGCAAATTGCATGAACTTTGTAGAACAATAAAATTTAAAAAATATTTCCAATCAATTACATTTCTGTTGATATAACATATTCTATCATACCATGTTACTTAACCCATTTCTGCCAAGGATATGTACAATTGACTGAAGTTTTATTTTGTGAATTTTCTTTACACATACACAGCTCTACAAGCCCTTAGTCACCAATGACCTAATTGGTATGCCAATGTGACATTACCTGATTTCCCCTTTCCTTGAGTTTTAGGGATTCGTTTTTTTATAATACTTTTCATATCGATATTGTTATTATCATTATCAATATCATGATTATCATAATGTTATCAACGATAATCAAATCAATAACAAATAAAAACTGATAATCATTCAAAAAATCAAGGAAAAGGATAAACAGGTGAAACAGGTACAACTAGCAAGCTAATTAACTCCTCGGTGATTGAGCACTGGCAGAGCCATTAATTTGTGAAAAAAATCAATAAATAAAAAACAAAATGGTTACTGCATGTAATCTTGCCATACTGGCATCAATGGATTAAGCATGCCAATACACAGATAAAAAGATATCTACAAACATACATACAATACACCATATATATACACAAGCACACAAGCATATAAACACATTCACAACTTGAAATATATTTTAGAACATAGCCACTCCAATATCTATTTCATAAATATTGGATGTACATTTCTCCATCAAATATCATTTGAGTAGGTTATATATCAGGATATCAATGTGCTTTCATCAAACACAACAACAAGTAATGATCTCAATACATTAAAAGCTAAATCAAATATTTATGCACATCCTATATCCTCAAACATTTTATCGCAAATCTTCACCAAGTAATATAAACAATCAATAAGTAAATGAAAAATGAATGCATGACATGGTAATAAAAACTGCAAAAATAAATTATACAACCAACACAAATTGCAAACCTTTGAAGACTGCGTATTTTAAGAGTACCATTACTTAATAAATGAAATCATCTTACAGTGAGTAATTACGACCCCAACTATTCCTGTCACACATTGGTGAAGGTGCAACCTACATAATGTATTGGGCGAGGCTATTCTTGTTTTGCCAAGGACCTATCTTATTCTTATCATTATCATTATAAACATTATCATTATTACAATTATTATTATTATCATCATGATTAAATCATCATCATCATCATCATCATCATCATCATCTTATTTTTATTACTATTACTATTATCATTACAGTTATTATTACCATTATTACTATTATTATTACTATTATCATTATTATCATCATTGTTATTACTATAATTGTAATTGCTCTTACTGTTACAGTTATTGTTATTGTTATTGTTTTCATTATTATTATTATTATCATCATTATTATCATTATTATTACTATCATTATCATTATCATTATCTTTATTATTATTATTCTATCACTATCATCATTATTATCATTATCATTATCATTGTCATTATTATCATCATTATTATCATTATCATTGTTATTATCATTATCATTCTCACCATCAAATGATCAAAATTCTTTTACAGGTATTGACAATTTGAAGCTACCACTAGCAAAAATTACATATGTTGTGTATAAGCAAAGGTGCTAGTAATTGGCAATTAGTAAGTCATATTTAGAAATTTGTTGTCAATTGTATACAGTCAGTCGGAATAATCAGTTGTTAACAGTATAAGTCAACTAGGAAACTAACAAATCTTGCTCTTTTCTTGTCTATACTTCAGGTATAAATTCAAATGCTCATCTTGGTTCTTAATATCTTAGTGACATAAGCAACATCTATCAAAAAAGGTAGTTGTACTTTGTATCTTTTGTCATAGAACTTGTTGTTTTCTAGAACAAGAATGATGTAGAAATAGTTACTATTAACCAATACCTGGTTGACTGACGAACCAAAAGGTTCCAAATATATATTTCATAATGAAGAATGATTATCAATCATGACTGTAAAAAGCATTTGAGAGGGAAAGATAAAAGAACTCTTTGCTCACCCACACAAGTTATATTTCTCTCTTTGTGTTCTAAAGTATTACATGTAATTTGGGTACAATTTTAGTG